CTGGCCCATCTCAGTCTGTGACGTCGGTGTAGAAACGTTAACGTCATGCCCTTGAAAGGTCGATAGGCACGGAGACCATACAGGCGGAGTTTTCTAGCAACGGTCCTTCTGCTGACTTGATGTCCAAGGCTGCTTGCGGATGATGCCGTCACTGTCAGGAATCTGTACATAAGGTGAAGCACCCGTAAATACCGGTCTTCCTGTGGGGTCGTGACCTTGGGTCTTCCACTCCTCGCCCTGTCTGCAGTACTGCCAGTTTGCCTGTGACGTGTGACAAGTCTGGCGATGGTGCACTTGAAGCAGCCCATGATCCTGGCAACGTGCTCCTGCGTCGCACCCATTTGCAACATACCGATGGCTCTCTCCCTCTGCACTGCGTCCAGTCAAGGCATGTTCGTTGTTTTAAACGGTTTCACGTGATGAGAGAATACAATCCTGCTCATGTTTTATATCAGAATTTCATACGGGTAACTTTGTGCACATTTTGCAGTTTTTAGTGATTATATTCACTTTTCTCGCAAATCACGTGAAGAACGTGCACATGTTCACGAGGAATAGGTAAGTTGCATTCCAGCTTTGTGTTTCCAACTGTTTTCGTGCTGTTCGGCAAATTTGTTGAAAACTGACGAACGTTATTTATTTGGTGGCGTTTCTTTTGCCCGCTAGTTGATATCTACTCACAAAATTGTATTTCCTGCTCACAAGCATGGGTTGGGTTATGAACAATTGACATGAGTCACTGTACACATACAGCAGATAAGGGACCCTTATGTTAGTTTGCTTTAGTGAGAGCAAACATATTGATGATTGCGAAAACGGGAAATTTATTATTTTTCCGTTTTATAAATTGTATACCAGGAGTAAGCAGCAGAGACTAGAAAAAGAACAAATGTTTATCCAACTGATGAAACCAAATTGAACTCTAGAATGTATTAATACATTTGTCATTTCAATCGTAAATGTTACACTGCTACTTTACAAATACTGTATATTTCAATTCAAATGTCTACAATTATTAAATTACTTTGTGTCGGCGCTGGATTGTGTAAATACATTATGACGTCACAGTTGTAAGTTATGACATCATCATACATTTGACGTCATTCATACGTCATTTAAGGATTGACTGTGTATTTTTTTCGGTTCATTGAAGTATGAATCAAAAACCGATGTGCAAACTGTAAGAATCCGCGTATTTTTTTCGGTTCATTGAGGTATGAATCGAAAACCGATGTGCAAACTGTAAGAATCCGCGTATTTTTTTCGGTTCATTGAGGTATGAATCGAAAAACCGATGTGCAAACTGTATGAATCCGCGTAGCGGATTCTTACAAAAGTTTGCACATCGGTTAAATTCGACAACGTAAAACATGTTTTATCTACAATAGTTTAACCCAAAGCAGTTGCATATATCAAAACAGACAAAAATGACGACATTGATAAACATTCCAGGTGTGGGAATACATACAGTGGCGTGACATGAATCAGACTGTAACGAACCGGAAGAAATATGTCCGAGATAAGGCGGCTGTTTCAAATAACATGGTCATTTACTGCATGATTCAAACATTACTTTCCTGATTACGGTAAAACACAGTTGGAGAAATGCTAATTAGAAATGAAACCCGAAGACATGAAAGGCGAGGCGAGCGGGAAAAAAACAGGCGAGCGAGCCTGCACGTTTGCTGTTTCATTCATTCTCGGCCTTCGTTTTCAAAGGATATGCTACTACAACTGCGACAGTGAGTTGCATGACAATATGTATTTATGCATCAAAGTGACCGTGTCGCTAGCTCTCCGTTGGGCTTCGATGACAGCACGTGAAGCTTTACAACCAATGTAAACATAGGATAACTACGCAAAAACAAGTAGATTGTTACGTATTTGCATACTTTCTCAATGAAAGTTAACCATTCTTTGACATTTGTTTATGAAAATGTGTAGACTTGTCAAACATGAAACGGATGAAAAGCATATGCAATATCTTGGGTAGGAGAGTGATTCATTGGGAAATGAATGCAATAACACGTGACCAATTCAGCTAATCAGAATGCAGGAATTTCCATGAACACAACGAAAATTTAATTATTGTCAGTTACACTGAAGAGCTGTTGTAAGACAGTGAAAGTACTATGTCTGAAACTGATATAAAGAAGATGATGGACTAACTAGGACTTTATTATTTTATTATATAATATATAATCGATCATTTTCAAAAGCAAGCATTCCAACGATCCTGTGCACGTTCAAATATAAATAATTTCAATCCAAAAGTCCAAAATATATTATCTGACATAGTACTGTTTTCAATTTGACAAAAAACAACCCTTATTCGCATTAGTCTTTTTGTTTTAGAATCATTGAAGCTAAGAAATGACCACTGGATTTTGAAAAGGAGTATTACCATTGCTGCGCATGGGTAGATTAATTCACTTACTCCATTTGCGTACCATCAATTGAAAAGGGCGAACAAAGCGACATTTTCAATATGTCGCATCGTCGTGTTGTCGCGCAATTAACGCCTGGTTGACAAATTTTTGATATGCCGTCAACGCGACTTTTATCAATATTGAAAATGGCGAATTAAGCGCATTGTCGTTCTTTGATGAAAATAAAAAATACCATTCAAGCTTGACAATGCAAAATGTGGCCTTGTCGCGTTGTCGCATTGTGATATTTATTTATATATTTGGAAAACATTTGTAAGGGCGACAACGCAACAATGTCCCTTCAGGATTTTAAACATTGGCTCTTGTAGGATGTAACTGACCCTTCTTGGTCTTCTTATAGCAGTTGGGAATAGACTGTAGTCTGAAATAAATGAAGAATAATACATGGAAGAGTTGGTTTTTTTCTTTTGGGGAGCAGCAGTAATGAGAAATGGTGTGTATACAGAAATAAATACAAGTGTCTTCTACCTCCAGTACCACCTAGTCCCCAGGCGTTCAACAGACCAAACAATACATTTCTCAGTACCTCGTATCACTGACATTCAAATCAGGAAAACAGCCGTAAATCAGAAAACGTTTGTATTTAAAGAAAGGAAGGATTGGTTTGAAGATAATCCGATTGCTACCGTAGATCTCACTATACGACTTGTCGGCAACCTAACATGCCCGATGTCTGTGGGGGACCATCGCAGATTCCAAAATGTCAGTCTTCATGCGGTGTTCAAATAAAGCAAGCGCATTGTCTCGGCGGTGAGTTCAAGAAAAAACGGATCTGAAAACTCTGCAAACGTGTATTGAATGCAGCGCGAGAACAAAAGCTGGAAGTCAATTCTTTTGGTGTGGTTGCCATTGTATAGACACGAGCTATCAGTGCCCATTCCATGTAGAACAGGCGCCACTTTTAGGCGGGATAAGTGAAACACTTATTTCATGTAAGCTAACCACTACTGTCAGGCCTTTGGTTAAAAGGTGTGCAGTTTATGTGCACGAAAGTTTACAAACAAATAGCTGGACTGTACATGTGGTATGTAATAATCTATGAGAGTGATCATAGTGTGTTTGAAAACGCATGTTACCGTCTAGATAGTTCGTTAATATATGCAACGTAAATTGCATAATTGGGATCAGTGATCGTAAACATCTCAAAGCGATCTCAATATTGATGATTGTGGCTATATTGAATGTATTTTAAGCAGTGAAACTTATGCACAATAATAAACTAGAACCACAAGGTACTGTAATCACCTTCCTTTTTCTGAAATATTTGCTATTAGGTCATATAATCCACAGAAAAATATACAAGGAAGTTAACATAGATTATTGCACTTTGAAGTAATATTAAAACATAACTAATTGGCTGATTTGAAGGCTCAACATTTCAACAAGACTGCAAAAGTTTAGGCAAATTCCAAAATAGCTAACAAAACGTTTCACATACTTTTGAATACTTCGCTGACTTATCAAATTGTTTCGTTGTATTTACAGATTCTGCAAATTAACCGGAAACATTTAAGATTTTTAGTTTGGCTCACATGAGATGTCAGATCAGATCGGATGTTTGGGTTATGTCTAAGGGCACCATTGCTCAACTGTAATAAGGAGCATCTGACATACATGTTTTTCTACATAGTTTCTATCTTCCAAAGTTGGTGATGATATTGACAGAAATCACTGAACTACACTTCAAACCGCAAAAAAATAGTACAGTTGACGTTTTTAACAAATAGGATCATAAACACGTGGCATTACGGAAATATGGTATACTGGATGAAAGAAGTCCAATATCGTTTGTTATTCATAATGTGTCACTGAACCTTTCAACAGAAAAAGTAAGTTAAGATAATAAAAGATAGAATAGAATAGAATATAGATATAGAGAATCTCACCCGAGTCTCTTTTGATATCAAATATATCAACACGTGTTGATAAAAGTGGAAAAACTCCGAGGCTTGCCGAGGATCTTTTCCACTTTTATCAACGAGTGTTGATATATTGGATATCAAAAGACACGAGGGTGAGATTTTATTTATCATCCAACATCATTCTTCCAACCTTTTCAGTTTGTAGACAGTAACAAGCAGTGTCTTAAGTGTAAAAAGTACTGCTAACAGCTTCAGCAGCAGAGCCATTAGTGATGTCATTTGATTATGACGTCATGGTAACTAGTAAAGTCTCAATGGTCTGCAACCCAATGTGATGCAAGTTCATAGCAGCGATATCTACAGTGTAGATATCGCTTGATCTCACCCAAGCAATATCTCCTGTGGGAGCCAGTTTTGGATGATAAATGTGATTATTACCCATATGGGCTTAAATATGCAGTGTAATAACTTTTTGATATTTGTACAGTGTGCAATTAGTGATTCTCGAAGCTGATTGGTCAGTTAAACAAATGTCAATTTTCATTGGTCGACGGGACTATTTTTCTCTCATTGAGTTCATTCACAAATCCAGGGCATTCATTCACATGTTTTACGTGCTACAATCTCACTTAATCGAGATTTATAAGACTAGAACATAGTTTCATATCAACCACACGATTTCACAGTATAATGAATAAAGCATTTATTTCGCACGAGTTTTAGTTTACAATAAGCGTAATTACAAAAAACAAAACTACGTCTACATTGTTTGTAAACAAACATGGCTGACCATTTGACACCTTTCAAACGAAATGACCTCGTTAAAGTAGATCTGACAGGAAGAGTTATTCGCATAATTCAACCTCTGAACACTTTTAATGTCTTTCTTGCCAAAACTGCATATGGCCAGATTGAAGTTCCAAGATTCAGATTGTGATGTTGCCAGAAACTGTTTCTAGTGCGCCAAAATCAACACCACCAAGTCTGGATTTGCGTCTGTGTTAGAGGACTTGCTGTTTGGCGAATCTTTCGACCACCCGAATCCCCCAAACCGGACTTAGTACAGACAGGTTTGCCTTTGTGAACGATGACGACATTGATAACTGCCAATGAAAAAGAAAACACAATGAAAAAGACTAAATTTGACAAGTTGACATGAACTTAGTTCAAATTTATACTGGTAAGAATAACACGAAAATAAGACTACTGACACTTTCAATGATGGCATAAGAATATAAACAATTAAAACATTAATTTCACTCGTGACATATTTTCCGTAATCACTCGTACCTCGTGGGTTATTCTATAAGTAGGCCACGGGGACATAAAAGTCACGAAAACGCCAGGTTCTAATAGAAGTGCTTCTAATAGCAGATAAAGGAATAAAACCTTAATCGTATGATACTACCAACAGGGTACCCAAATAGGCCTGTCATACAAAGAAATGGTGAGGGAATTGCATTTAATTTGGAAGGAAAATAGCTTCAGGAATGTTCTCGTAAAGTCATTCCACCTGCACTGAACACGAAACGTCGTAAATGTTTCTCAAAGAAAATATCACACCCTAAACTCTCTTCCCCATAGTGTTCCCATGACCAACACCATCCCAAACTCTCTTCCCCGCAATGTTCCACTGTCCAACACCACCCCAAACGTTCTTCCCCATAGTGTCACCCTGACACCAACGAAAACTCTCTTCCCTGTAGTGTTCCTATGACAAAACACCACCCTAAACTCTCTTCCCCAAAGTGTTCCCATGACAAAACACCACCCTAAACTCTCTTCCCCATAGTGTTCCCATGACAAAACACCACAACCTAAACTCTCTTCCCCATAGTGTTCCCATGACCAACACCACCCTAAACTCTCTTCCCCAAAGTGTTCCCATGACCAACACCATCGAAAACTCTCTTCCCCATAGTGTTCCCATGACCAACACCACCCCAAACTCTCTTCCCCATAGTGTCACCCTAACACCAACGAAAACTCTCTTCCCAGTAGTGTTCACATGACCAACACCATCGAAAACTCTCTTCCCCATAGTGTTCCCATGACCAACGCCACCCCAAACTCTCTGCCCCGCAATGTTCCACTGTATAACACCACCCAAACTCTCTTCCCCATAGTGTCACCCTGACTAACACCATCGAAAACTCTCTTCCCTGTAGTATCACCCCGAACCGCACCATCGAAATCTCTCTTACTAATAGTGTTCCCCTGGCCAACACCACCCTAAACTCTCTTCCCCATAGTGTTCCCATGACCAACACCACCCCAAACTCTCTTCCCCGCAATGTTCCACTGTCCAACACCACCCCAAACTTTCTTCCCCATAGTGTCACCCTGACACCAACGAAAACTCTCTTCCCTGTAGTGTTCCCATGACAAAACACCACCCCAAACTCTCTTCCCCATAGTGTTCCAATGACAAAACACCACCCTAAACTCTCTTCCCCATAGTGTTCCCATGACCAACACCACACCCTAAACTCTCTTCCCCATAGTGTTCCCATGACCAACACCACCCTAAACTCTCTTCCCCATAGTGTTCCCATGACCAACACCACCCCAAACTCTCTTCCCCGCAGTGACACCCGCCCCATCCAAACCTGTCTGCATTTTGGTGCATTTTGTTGTGAATATGTATGTAGGATTGTTTTATGTCTTATTTAATGTGTATTAATATTGTAGCATTAAAAGTGGCCATGCTTTATATGTAAGTGTTGTTCTGTACATGATTCTGACCTACATCTTACATACCCGTGTGACACTGTAACAAACAATTCCTCCATTCATTCACTGCTGTATACCGGGAGCCTTGAGACACTTAGTATCCTGAACAAACACATTTGGTTCTACTGTTTTAGTGTATATTCCAAACGTGTGACTATTAAACCAACATGCAGAGACGACTCTTGTTGTCAATTTGACTGGCATTTATGATAATATCCCCCAATACCAGGAAGGCACGAATATTGCTTTTTAATCAGTTTCTACATTCCTTCTTTTCTCCCTAACTATACTCATTAATGGCATTGTAAAAAGAAAAAATCCCATTGCAATAAAATGGGGAAAATGTCCAATAATGTGTTAAAATGTCCCTATATTCGTCCAATTCTTGTGGATGTATGAGTCGCGGACCCGGACTAAGACGTACAAGCGAGGCGCGGTAATCTCCCGTTGGCTGGCAAAGCCTTCGGGGAGCCTGCATCAAATAAAGCTCGTCTATGCAAACGCTGCTCGTTGATTTAATTTCATAAAGTAAAAATGCCCGTGGATCTCTATTGATTGCCTGGAAAACCCCTGGGTGGTTGACTGTGAGGAAAACAATTTGCTGACGATTATGAAGCTGATGAGATGATTACGGCTCCAGCGTTGTGAACGGTCTGAGGGCTGGGAGGCGAGGTCACCTACAGACCACGTGGCTGACATTCATGTAAGCCATCTCCCTCTATACAAGGCCCTTAACACACTCAGCCAGGCCACTCCATAAGCAGGGCGGGTTTAGAGTACATATGTGAGCGAACGTCTCGTGACCATGTATATATTGTCAGATAGGATTAAAGACTTTAGTGCAAACTTGTAGGTGGCGGGTAAATCACTCGCAAAAACTAAACCAACAACGTATGAGTTTTCCACCCATAAGAATAATTCAAAACGCTCAACAAATAAAAAAAATTTTACATCACCGCTGACCAAAAGGCTTTTAAAGATGTTTCGCACCCCAGGTTGTTGTATTGATATATGTTCCATGTCGATTTCAATGCTAAAACCTGACTGGTTTTCTGAATGAAAATATATTGCACACATAAACAATCCGCCCATCTGTTCATGAAAACACACATGTTGCAATACACGAAGCACCGTTCAAGTAAGGTGTAGTAAAATATGCCTTAAATCACCCACGAAACCTTTCTGAATTAGCAAGTACGTTGGATGCATAGGTTGAAGGACATGAAACACGTCTCTCGGTGACAAACTGTGCTCAAAGAACAAAAAGGGCAGTTATCTTTTGTGACGTCACTTGCGACGGTCACATGTGTCATCACAACATGGTGTTTAGATATGGTGAAATATGTTTTGTTGGTCGTTTAGCACTAGTGGAATGCGTTACATACACTGTAAAATGTGTTTAGAATGTAAACACATACAAGACATGTTTAGATATAAACATAGATGTTTAAAAATGTGATTAAGTCCTAAGTGGGGTACACATTAGGTGTGTTCTATCTGAACACATATAGGGTCTAATCAAGTGATTACCTCCCCTGGATGGATCGGTGCATATCATATCATAATCCATAGTACATATGAAGATCGGCTAAATCATACCACTCCACTGAAAGTGGGAATACCCCTACAGTTATGGAGAACAAGAATCGGAACTCTTGTTGCCCCGAAAGGCAAACAAGTTGAGAAAGTGTCGCCGTACTCCCCCCACACAGGCCCCTGAAGCAGGATAGTGATATTACTGAAACACCAACCCATACAGTATAGATACTACTTAATGGACAAGTTACGTCACTCGCCACCTTGGTCGAAGTTGAAATTAGCTGTATCGTACAAATTAAATGGAAATGTACGCATGTCATGTTCACATACCTCCCCACCGCACTCAACATACGCCCTGCATGCCACAAACCTTCATTGTTTTGCATTTTATTGCCTATATAGGGTGACTTTATTGACATATTGGCCCAGTCGCGGCTGTCGGTCACGGATGTAAACAAAAAATCTCCGCGCTCAATGGCGTCGAGGACCGTGTCTCCACACTCACAGTGGACGAGCCGGACTGTCGATCAAAAAAGAGGTACGTGTTATTAAAAACGAGATCGACCATCAGAAAGAAGAACAAGCTATCCTAAGACTTGATAATAGATGCTATGAATAATAGAGTGGGCGACAAACAAAATCATTTGGATAGTATCAGTGAGTTAGAGTCAAGATAGAGGTATAAACAATAGACAAGGCGACAGAAGAGACACATACCCCTGGTCGTAAGGCTGTGAGATAGGGGTGTGGCTAGGGCCGTGACAGTTTATGGGTGCATCAAACAAATGTACCCCACAGTATTGAGAACAACGATGTACATTTTTTATTTTGGAATGTATCAGGGATGATGGCTAAATTACAGGATCGTGACTTTGTAAACTTATATGTAAATGCGTCATCATTGGATTGACAGAATCTTGGTGCAAAACAATTAAGTTAAACACCCCTGTTTCCAGATTTTATTGTTATAACAAAAGACAGAGAAAATATACTGAACCAAATTAAAAACGTTACAATCCTAAAATTTTAACATTTTGACCAGTTATCATTGTGGGCCCGTATTGTGTATTTAAACAGTAATGGCCACGTATTATCTTCAGATAACACCCGTTTTTTGAAGGCGAATCGATAAAAATCATGTGCACAGGACTACAGTGGCAAAAGTGTTTTTTCACGTGTTTTCAGCCATACTTGTTAGCAGTCATTAACAAAAAAAGGAAAACACAAGAAAACAAAAATCTTTACGGCCATTTGTCATGCCACGCCTTTCAAATGTGCAACGTGAACGTGCCATCGGCATGTTGCAGACGGGAACGTCCGTAGATGAAGTCGCAAGGACGATGGGTTGAGTAGTATAGGTAATGGTGATTCTGGACCACTTCCACTTGAGTCAGATTTATATACCTATACTGCCACTACAGGGGGAATTTTTTATGCAAAAAATGATGATGCGATTCAACGATAGTCATGAGATTAAACTAAATTGAATCTAGCTCACCACTACCTGGAGCCAATCAATGATACCATTAGTACAAAAGCAATGATGAGACTTAACTAAATTATAATGAAAATATTCTCTATTATTTTTACTGATACGTATACCATTATTTTTAACAAAGTGATATTCAACATTTTTACTAAGTTCTTCGTTCATTTTACTAGGAGACCAGACTATATACTCTTCTTGGTAATTGGAAAGAAACAATTGATGGCCGTATTTGGTTGGTTTGACATCACTGATATAATATATACCTTGTGGTAATTCTCTCAATTTGATAATTTTGTCCCTGAGCATAAATGCTTCGATAGCTTTTTCGAGTTCTTCCTTTGT